CCTAGCTGTAGGAGCAGCTGTTGTGCCAGCTTTGTGAGGGTTCTGGAGATCTGAGTGATCTTCATTCTGTGTGGCATCTCCATGGCTCCTGTGTGTTCACTTTTCTGGCTCTCTTGTGCTCAGGCCAGACCTTACCAGGATTGTAGGCTAACATCACGTGGACTCATTCTTAGTGGGAGGTATTCAGCAAGGAGCATGCTGTTCTGTGTTAGCAAGTAGGCATCTGCGTTATTTTCACTAACTGCCTAGTAGTCACCCTCAGTTTTATTCTTTATTCCTTTCCTATAAGATGTTATCCTCAAGTTCCGGGACAAGATTGAGAAATTGGAGAAAGATGTGTATGCGGTGCTGCAGCTGGAGGCTGAGGAAAAAGAGATGCAGCAGTCGGAAGCCCAGGTGAGGCTGTGTGGCCAGCTCCCCTCTCAGCTGCTCAGTGACAGCTGCAGTGTGACCACGGTTGCCCTTGTACCATCCCCACAGATCAACACAGCAGAGCGACTCTTATCCAAAGGGAAAGAGACTGCAGATAAGGCACCTGAGAGGAGCTGGTTCCAGACCAAAGAAGAGAGGAAGAAAGAGAAGAGTAAGTCCTGAAGGCGGCTCCTCACTGGCAGAGCATTGTCGGGGAGCTGCTTGCCAAGCAAACCTAAGGGACTGACTTTGAATTTCCAGAACCTACCTCCCAGCTTTAAAAAATTAAGATGGCAGCATGCTTCTTTATCATATGAGTAGATTGTAACATAACTTTTCTATGTTGAGGGATATTGAAAGTTTACCCAATTTTTGCCATTAGTCAGATGGAATGGAGATGTCCTGAGACTCTTTGAGCATGTGCCCCTTAGTTACATAAGTGTGCTTTCTAGAGTATTCTGAAGGTGAAGAGAGATGCAGATTTCTGACTCAAGTGGTAGTTTCAAAATTATCTCCCTTGTAAGCTGTGGCAGCGGTGTCAGAAATCCTGCCTCTCTTTGGTGGCTAGGCAGGAGATGAGTGTGCTAAACTTCCATGGTAGAAGGGGCTGTGACTGGTGGTCAAAGCTGTTGAGTACTAGGTAAAACCTGTCTTTGTCCTTTGTGCTGGGAATTGAGACAGTGAGAACCTTTAGTGTTCTGAGCAACTGGGGCTCGGTGAGCTAGAGGGAACGGACAACCTCAGCTGTCTTTATTCAGGGCTCTTCTATTATCCACTTGTTTTATTTATTTATTTTTATTTTTTTATTTTTTTTAAATGTTTTTATTGATTTATATGAACACTGTAGCTGTCTTCAGACACACCAGAAGAGGGCATCAGTTTGCATTACAGATGGTTGTGAGCCACCATGTGGTTGCTGGGAATTGAACTCAGGACCTCTGGAAGAACAGCCAGTGCTCTTAACCGCTGAGCCATCTCTCCACCCCCCACTTGTTTTATTTTATTTTAAGATTTATTTATTTTATGTATGTGGGTACACTGTAATTCTCTTCATGTACACCAGAAGAAGGCATCGGATCGCATTACAGATGGTTGTGAGCCACCATGTGGTTGCTGGGAGTTGAACTCAGGACCTCTGGAAGAGCAGTCAGTGCTCTTAACTGCTAAGCCATCTCTCCAGCCCTTGTTTTATTTTCTAAGACAGGGTCTCTCATTGGTCTAGAACTCAGCCAATGGTCTAGTCTGGCTGGCCAGTGAGCCCTAGGGATCAACCTGTCTCTGCCACCTGAGTATTGGGGTTATAAACAGATTACCACCACACCCACTTCTTTCCTTCCTTCCTTCCTTCCTTCCTTCCTTCCTTCCTTCCTTCCTTCCTCTCTTTCTCTTTCTCTCTCTTCCTCTTCTTCTTCTTCTACCCCCCCCCCCATGGGTTCTAAATCCCTGGGTTCACCTTTAATCTCCGTACTCTGGTGGCAGAGGTGGGTGAATCTCTGTGAGTTGCAGGTAAGCCAAGGGTACATAGACCCTCTGTCAAGAAGCCAGTTTTTTTAAAAAAAGTTGGTGGGCTGGAAAGATGGCTCAGTGGTTAAGAGCACTGGTTGCTCTTCCAGAGGTCCTGAGTTCAATTCCCAGCAATCACATGATGGCTCACATTACAGATCTGTAATGGGATCTGATGCCCTCTTCTGGTATGTTTGAAGACAGCTACTATGTATTCATACACATAAAATAAATTAATAAATCTTTAAAAAAAAAAAAAAAAGGTTGGTTCTAGGTATCCAATTCAAGTCCTCAGTTCTTTTTAAAAATTTGTATATTTATTTTGTCATAGTTTCATTGTGTGTTAGTATACTTGGATTGATCTCTCTCTCTCCCTCACCCCCCCCCCCCCATACCTGCTGTCCCTTCTCCCTCCCCCTTGGTGCTGAGCCTCTTTCCAGCAAGTTCCTTCCTGACTTGAAGTCTGTCTTTCAAGGCTGCTGCATTTTTAAGTTGCTGACATGAGTATGGGTGGGGGTTATTCTCTTGCACGGGGCCACCTTCCACTGGCTGCCCCACTGAGAAATGTGACTCCCTTCTCTGGGCAGTCATTAACTGGGGAGCTCTCCCCAGGCTAGCGTTCTTCCCTGAAGGGCACTTCACTCAGTGAGCTGTCACCTAGTTTCTTCTCAGTTTAAGCTTTAGTGACGTAATCACACAGCCCCTAAAATCCACTCTGTTCTCACAACAGTTGCCAAGGCTCTGCAGGAGTTTGACTTGGCCTTAAGAGGAAAGAAGAAAAGGAAGAAGTTTATGAAAGATGCTAAGAAAAAGGGGGAGATGACGGTGAGTGGCCTCCCCGTGGAGCAGGGCCCCGTGGAGCACCGGTCTGCTCTGTGCTCACCCCTCACTCTGCCCCTAGGCAGAGGAGAGGTCCCAGTTTGAAATCCTCAAGGCACAGATGTTTGCAGAGAGGCTGGCCAAGAGGAACCGCAGAACCAAGCGAGCCCGGGCAATGCCTGAGGAAGAGCCTGCAGCAGGCCCTGGTACGCGATGGGGTGTCCGTTCTGAGGCCCACACCATGGCAAGAGTTGGCAGGGATGGCAGTGACCAAGCTTTGGAGAAACTGGGATGTATCAGTGTACTTGGCCCTCCACTGATTCTGGAATTCTCTCCCTCAGTGTCAGGGGACTCAGTAGCCTCTGACCCATTTTTCTCTGTGTGCAGCCAAGAAGCAGAAGCGGCAGCAGAAGTCTGTGTTTGATGAAGAACTCACCAACACAAGCAAGAAGGCCCTGAAACAGTATCGGGCTGGGTAGGTTTTAAGTGCTGCTCAGCCCTCAGTGTGCTACAAACTGAAGCATCTGTGTCTATGCTCACTCCCAACTCTTCCCTAGAGCTTCATAACGCTGTGACTCAGGTCCTGATGAGCATAAACAGGAGAGTGTGTTCTTTACATAAGCTCTCCAGATCTAGACATCTTAACCCGTCTGGTTGGGAAAGGCCTCTTTGTTTAGTTTTGTTGTTTGTTTTTGTTTTTCGAGACAGGGTTTCTCTGTGTAGCCCTGGCTGTCCTGGAACTCACTCTGTAGACTAGGCTAGCCTCGAACTCAGAAATCCACCTGCCTCTGCCTCCCAAGTGCTGGGATTAAAGGTGTGCGCCACCACCGCCCGGCTTGGGAAGGGCCTCTACCTACTGATTTTAAGTTGGTGGCTGGCTTCCAGAAATGCATATTGTTCTGTACAAGCCCACAGGAGACTGAATCCCCCTTGCTGGCCTGTGAAGCTGAGATGGGGTGATGTCACTCACATGTTCCACAGCCTACCTATCTCATACTTCATCTCTCTTACAGTCCTTCCTTTGAAGAGAGGAAACAGTCAGGTCTGCCCCGCCAGAGGAGAGGGAACTTCAAATCTAAGTCCAGGTAATGCTGCACTGTGGTGGGCCCATGGGGCTGGAGAGGCAAGCTGTGTGGGAGGCGGTACTGCTCCTCCCTTCCGCTTTTACTTTTGTTGATTTCCTTAACAGGTACAAGAGAAAGAAGTAGTCCCAGAGGTGTGAAGAAGTTGGTGGGACAGTTTTATATCCCTTCCCTGTGGGAAGTCATCTTGTCTTGGTCTGATTTTTCCATTTATAAAACCCCAAACCTGGGGCTGCAGAGGTGGCTCAGTGATTAAGAGCACTGACTGCTCTTTCAGAGGACCTGAGTTCAATTCCCAGCAACCACATGGTGGCTCACAACCATCTGTAATGGGATCTGATGCCCTCTTCTGTGTGTCTGAAGATAGCTACAGTATACTCACATAAAATAAAATCTTTAAAACCAACAACAAACCCTCTTGAACAAGCCTGATTGTGGATCTGTTGTTTCTGTTAGTATCTAGGAGCTGTTTTTAGTGTTATTCATTCATGCCTCCTTTTTTAAATCTTGTCTCGCTGTGTAGCACAGGCTAGCTTGGAACCTATTTAGGCCTCTAATTTGTGAGACTCTATAGATTGCTGGGGTTACAGTATGTACTGCTGTGCCAGGGTTTCCTCCCTGACTAGCTTCCCCACGTTTCAAATGTAGGAAGTCTGTTTTGTGAGCTCAGACTGCCTCACGTCAGTTTGGAAACGGCCAGTTCTCCAGCTGTATATATGCTGCTCACACTCGCCAACTCGGGGCTCTGTTTAGTAAGTCAAGGCTCACTGGTGCTGGGGTATGGGTCAGACCAGGCTCTGCCTTTGGTGGAAGATCTCCATGTTAAAAGGCAAGGGGCCAGTGAGAAGTCTTAGTCAACACCTTCCCGCTGTCCCTAACCCAGATGCACACACCACTTAACCACAGTAAGTCTGCATTCTACGCGGCGTGCAGAGCTCGATTACGAATGTGCACAGGGTATAGAGTCTCGGGGACTCATGAGGCATTTGCTAATAGGTTGAAGAATGTTAACTGTGGGTAGAATTGGGCTCATCAGCTAAATGACGTCCAGTAAATGATAGGCCTTAGCACAGGGAGTACTCCACCCACAACTGCTACTGACGGTTAGGAAGAGAGACAAATCATGGGCGAGGACGGTGACAGTTGTTGAACATAGTAAAAAGGCAAGCACAGACAGAGACCATAGGCTTTTTTCAATCATTGTTTTTATTAATTGGCTTAATAGGTTAAAGTGCATAGTAAAGACAAAAAAAGGAAATGCATACATAAGAAAGGGGCTTTCCTAGACAACATTAGAAAGGACCTGAGATGTCTAAGTCTGTTCTAAGGAACATGGAAAGAGATGCAGATGCAGGCAGTGGGCCTGGAGCCGGTGCCCGCAGAAGCTGCTGGCATGCTCACCCTGCCCAGGCAGAGGCTTCGAGGGAGGGTGCCTAGATAAAGACTCACAGGAGGTGCTGCAGACACTGAACCTGCAGACCCTCTCCTACAGACACAAACCCACCCCTGCTGTCTGAGTGCAAGTTTCAGGAGGGTGCAGGGGTCACTCAGCTTGTGTCTGCTGTGAGAGCCCCACCCCACTGGGGACAGTGACTATATAACTGAGTCAAGGAGAGTTGAAGTGTCTGTCACAGGCCTCATCTCCAGGAGGGCAGGAGCCCAAGGAGTAGGGGCCTGGGCTCTTGTGCTCCTTGAAAGTAAAGGGGTTCCTAGAGTTCTCTCTGGGCTGCTGTTATTATAATGGGAGTCAGTATGCAAGTTAGGGTCTGGACATGAGAGGCAGCGCACCCTGGGCACACGCAGTGCTGACCATGCCAGGACCCAATTACCCTAATATCCCTGGGTGGAGTCTGGATGTTCCCAGGAGTCCTACTTGCTACAGTAGAGGAGCTGAGAACTGTGGGCTCTGCTCGGTGCTGGGGGTAAAGTGCTTACTCTAGCGCAGGGTATGTCTAGAATCGTGGGCAAGCCCGAAAAGTGGATCCTTAAACAAGTGCGAAGACTAAAGGACACTAATAAACTGGTTCCTCCACAGAGGAGCTAACCCTGACTCTGAGGTGGCAGGGCAAAAGGCCTTGGGTGCCATCTTCTACATCATCCTGCGGATCTCCTCAAAGTTCATCAAGTTGGCTGTGTCTGACCAGGCAGGGTGCTGGGCTCCATCCATCTCAGGGGCAAGGTGGTTGCTCCTCTCCAGAGTATGGTTTTCACCACCAATCACCTCCTGGCACTCAGGACAGGTGCCCCGCTGCATGGCTCCCCCACACTCAGTAATTACATAGATGTGGCCATTGGGGCACTTGAACCAATGGCCACGAGGAACACCCAAGGCAGTGACAATCTGCACTCGCTCCTCCTCGGAGATGCCCAGGCTAGAGCAGGGAAGGGCAGTTTTCAGAGCATCCATCTTTTTCTGCACAAGCTGTTCATCTTCCTGGGTGAACTTACTTGTTTTTTCAAGAACATCCCGGATGCTGGAGACCTTGTCTGCTATGCCGCCCTTCACCTTCTCTGCCATCTTGCAGCGCATCAGGAGGTTCACCAAGTAGGTGAGCCTCTGGATTTCACTCTGGAGGTCACTCAGCTCCTGACTGCTGAAGCTCAGGCGCTTCTTGGCCAGCCACTCGTGGACCTGTTCAAGTCGAGACCTCACTTTCTGCTGTTCTTCGTGATGCACCTTTTCCAGGGACCCCTCCAGGTTGGCCAGGTGGTCATAGAAGCTGATGGAATTCTCCACAAGGCCCAGGTCCTTCACTGACAGGTTTTTCTGGGCCAGCTTCTCTTGAAGTAATAGGAATTCTTCAGGACGCAGCTGGTAGAAGAGGGTCTTGCTCTTCAGCAGGGCCTTAAGTCGTTCCTGGCTAGCTGCAATCTCCCCTGCAGAGCCCTGGATCTTTTCCTTGACAATTTCTATCTCTTCCAGCCGCTGTTTGATGCTAGTTCCGTACCTCAGGTTTTTGCGGATGGGTACCTGACAGATGGGGCAGACTTTCAATTTGATGGCAACTTCATCATCCTTCTGCTCATTCATGTAGCGGTCCAAGGCTTGTACCTCAAAGACGTGGCTGCAGTCTTCCAGCTGCACAAAGCGGGCGTCAGGCTCATCCTCAAAGCCAAAAAAGATTTGGGTTACCTCTTCCAGGTGGCAGACACGGCACTTTTTGGGACATGGCTCCCCACACAGACCAATGCAAGGGTGGCCGCAAGCCAGTAGCTTGGTACAAGGCACGTAGCATGGGGGTCGGTTGCAGGGCTCTGAGCAGAGTTTGGTGCACTGGTAGTGCTGGCAGCGCCAGACACAGGGCTCCACGCAGGGGCTGCACAGCTCCCCACACTTCTTCTTGCACTGGCTGTGGACACAGCGGTTCTGACATGTTCGCTGGCAGGGTGGGCACTCACCGATGCAGGGCTCCTGGCACCTGTGTGAGCAGACGAGCAAGCGCTTACATGGCTGTTGGCAGCGCTCATGAAAGCGCCCTTCAAAGCAGCTGTGGCAGGAGCCGGGGCAAGGGTGGCCACAGTCTAGGGCAGTGTCACACTTGGTGGTGCACTTGACTGGCAGGCCGTATTTTAGATTTTCCACATTGCCACACTTCACCAGTTGACTGTGCCCGCACTTAAGTTTCACGGAGACCTTTTCTGAACACAGCTGCACACAGTCCTCACCACAGAGGTGGCTGCATCTGTGGCCACATCTTAGTACCTTGGAACAAGGCTCCTGGCAACAGAAATCTGACTCTGACATTGAACAAGGGACCATCTGTGTGTGACCACACTTAAGAATGACTTTGGGCACTTTCACCTGACAAGGCTGACACTCTTGGAAGCAAACATTTGGGCACCGGTGCCCATCCTGGCAGAGGACTTTCTGGCATGGCTTCATGCACTGGAACTCCTTGTGGGAAGAGTCATATGGGTGGCAGGCACGTGTGCACACATGCCCACAGGCCAACCGGAACTCACAGGGCAGGCTGCAGCCTCCTTCTGGTACTTTCTGGAAGTCAGAAGCTTTGGATACAAGGGTGTGGGTCTCGGGGTGGTTCTGGCAACAGAGGCGGAGGGATGGGCCTATCTGATTGTTCTCTCGGAGCGTGTGGATGATCCTGCTCCACAAGGGTACCTTGGCAAGCATCTGCATGTTTCCAATGCAGTACATCCCCTTCTTGGCCCGGGACAAGGCTACACAGATGCGGTTGGGGATCTGGAGGAAGCCTGCCTTGCCCTCTTGGTTGCTCCGCACTAGCGAGAGTAGAATGATGTCATTCTCTTCCCCTTGGTACTTGTCCACCACATGGACCTTGATGCCAGCAAACGTCTTAACAGGCATGAGTTTGCGCAAACAGAAGAGCTGACCAGTGTAGGTGGTGAGGATGGTGATCTGGGATGGACGGTACTCCTGGCACAAGAAGTACTGGCACAGCTCCACCACAAAGTGTGCCTCATGCTGGTTCTGATGACTTTTGCCTTCTTGGATCTCCTGCTCAGGAAAGTTGTGCTCCACAAAGAAAAGGTTGGAGGAGACACCCTGAAAAATAAGGCGGCAGCATATCAGACTCCCTCATGGTGTTTCCCTCTTCCCTCAGCACTGGGGACGGAGCCCAGAGCCTCATACATGCTGCACATCTGCTGGACCTCTGAGCTCCACCCAGCTCTGGCACTTCATCTCCTGGACACTGACTACTGACCCACAGGAAGAACCTTTGTGCCTTCCATCTGATCTTTACCTCTGAAGTAAGTCGTGTGCTTTTCTCTCAGGCCACAGCACTGAGCTGTAAAATAATTAAGCCTATTTTCCTTGTCCACGTATTAAATCACCTGTCACGGCCAAGGGGACAGCAGTAGTTGGTGACGAGGAGGCAGCTGATGTCTGCAGCACTGCACGGTCTGACTGCTGAACACAGTGCATAGCTCAGGGACAGGGCAGGGGCCGACAGTCTCACTCCACTCAGACAACAGTGCCTGCATCTCTTGGGGACTTACTTATTCAGGGTCACACAGCTGCCAAGTGGCAAGACTGAGATTCACGCCAGGTCAAGAGCCACTGTTTCTGTCCCATTCCCCCTAAGGCTTAGCGGTCCTGACCTGGCTCTATTCCCTTTTTTTCTTTTTATAGATTCTATTTTTGTTTTATTAAAATACGCGCGGGCGCACACACACACACACACACACACACACACACACACACACACACACATCATACACACCCAAACACAAGTCTCCATCTGCATACAGAGCCTGCATGCCAGAAGAGGGCATCAGATCCCATTACAGATGGTTGTAAGCCGCCATGTGGCTGCTGGGAATTGAACTCAAGACCTCTGGAAGAGCAGCCAGTGCCCTTAACCACTGAGCCATCTCTCCAGCCCCCTCTATTTTATTTTTTAACTATTATTTGTACACGTGTGTGTCCATATGTGGTTGTGTACATCTGAATGTGGATGCCCATGAAGACCAGAAGAGGCAGAGAGACCAGGAGATAACCGGTGCTGGGCATGCAACTGGAGTAGTGGCAGCTCAGGTCCCCAGTGCAGGAACTGGAAAGCCAACTCGGGTCCTCTGCGAGAGCAATACTGTTTCTGAGACACAGTCTGTCTATTATGTAGCTCTGGCTGTCCAGGAACTTGCTGTATGTAGACCAGACAGGCCTCAAGCTCAGAGATCCACCTGTCTCTGCCTCCTGAGTGCTGGACTAAAGGTATGTACCACCACACTGGCTTCAGGACACACTTTTAAACGCTGAGCTCTCTCCAGACCCTCTACTACTTTTTTTTGTTTTGTTTTGTTTTTCGAGACAGGGTTTCTCGGTGTAGTCCTGGCTGTCCTGGAACTCACTCTGTAGATCAGGCTGGCCTCGAACTCAGAAATCCACCTGCCTCTGCCTCCCAAGTGCTGGGATTAAAGGCGTGCGCCACCACCGCCCGGCCCTCTACTACTTTCAAAAGCCTTTTTTACTTCTGAGGAAGGAAACCACCTAAACTGCTGACACCATCAGAGATGACCACATACGACAGACTGACCTTTATCTGCTCATACTTGAGAACAGAAGGATGGTTCTCCAGATCCTGGTAAATGTGAGGGGTCAGAAGGCGGGCGATTTCAGGCCGCATGCGGTGCTGAAACAACAGATGGCATTAGGAACAAGTGCAAGACAGAGGGCCATGTTCTGGAGGCTGTGGTATCAGCAGGAAACCTACAAAGGTAACACCAAAGAATAACTGGGAGAAAGCATGATGCCAGAGGCTTCATCCCAAAAAGCAGGGACTTCGCAATGGTTTCAAAGAGTATTTCTGACTGTCTGGCTATTTAAGAAATAACCGAGCTCTAACTGCTGGCAGGTGGCAGGCACCCAGGAGCCTTCTAGATGTCGGTAGGAACACAAGCCCAATCTCTCACCTGGTGATTCAGACGGACGAAAGGGATGTTTACTTTTACCAGCCGTTCAAACAAGGACACCTCAAGGTTGAAGTTCTTGGCCAGGTCGTATACATTAGCACTGGGACGCAGCTGGGGAGAGAAACAAGCCTGAGATTCTCTGGTGGGAACACACTGATTGCCCAGCAACATGGGTTTAAGCATCTGTTGGAGGCAGGCACTAGCCTAGGTGCTGACAGGTTCAGGATTAGTAATGACAAGGATCATGACGAACCCAAGATGGTGTAACAGAGCCCGAGGGTGGATGGTCTGGCTAGGCCTCTGCACAGTGACGCCTGAGTTGATAACAGCACGGAGGTGGCTGCCAGTCATGAGAGGGGCAGGAAGGACAGTGAGTGTAGGCCCTGAGCAAATGAGGTGAGCCAGAGACAGGACAAAGCCCACTTCTGTTTCTGAGGAACATGTGCAAGACAAAGGGCCATGTTCTGGAGGCTGTGGTATCAGCAGGAAACCTACAGAGCTAACACCAAAGAACAACTGGGAGAAAGCATGAAGCCTCTGACTGTGTAGCAGCTTCTAGGCTAGGCATGGCTGTACACGCCCCTGTAGTTCACACTTGGGAAGTGGAAACAAGGGTCAGTAGTATAAAGCCACCCTCAGCTACAAAGTGAGTTCAAGGTTAGCCTAGGCTACACACGACCATCTCAGAATCAAAGGAGCTTGAGTTTTAGCATCAAGAGTAGTGAGAAGTCCCTGACATGCACAGGCTGGAGAGGTGGCCCAGTGGTTAAGAGCACTGGCTGCTCCTCCAGAGGACTGGGTTTAATTCCCAGCAACCACATGGTGGCCTTCTTCTGGTGTGTCTGAAGATACATGAAATAAATAAGTAAATCTTCCTTTAAAAAGTGACATGATCTATCTCAATTCCTGAAACTTTTAAGTTTTGCTTTATCTGAGGCAGCTGTGTCAGCACATGGCACAAGCTAGCTGTGACTAGCTAATGTACTTTCTGTCTTTTTGTTTTTTGAAAGCTAAGTTTCTCTGTGTAGCTCTGGCTGACCTGGATCTTGCTCTGTAGACCAGGCTGGTTTCAAACTCAGAGACCGCCTGCCTCTGTTTCCCAAGTGCTGGGATTAAAGGTGTGTAACACCTCAGTTGTGGGTTTTTTTTGCTTTGTTTTTTTCCTTTTAATTCACTTTGGCTCCTTTTCAGGGGACAAGACTAAACAGTAGCAAAAATGAAAGCAAAAGACTTAAGGAGGGCTGGAGAGATGGCTCAGCGGTTAAGAGCACTGACTGCCCTTCTGGAGGTCATGAGTTCGATTCCCAGCAACCACATGGTGGCTCACAACCATCTGTAATGGAATCTGATGCCCTCTTCTGGTATGTCTGAATCAGTTACAGTGTACTCATATAAATAAAAATAAATAAATAATATTTAACAACAACAAAAAGACTTAAGGAGCTTTCTATGCAATTGTTCATGGTGAGAGCCGGAGATGGCTTTATGGTTAAGAATACAGGCTGCTGGGCGGTGGTGGCGCACGCCTTTAATCCCAGCACTTGGGAGGCAGAGGCAGGCAGATTTCTCAGTTCGAGGCCAGCCTGGTCTACAGAGTGAGTTCCAGGACAGCCAGGGCTACACAGAGAAACCCTGTCTCGAAAAACCAAAAAAAAAAAAAAAAACCAAAAAAAACCAAAAAAAAAAAAAAAAAAGAATACAGGCTGCTCTTGCAGGGGACGCAAGCTCAATTCCCAGCACTCATGTATCAGCTCACAACTACCTAGAACTCCAGTCTAAGGGGATCGGCTACTCTCTTCTGGTCTCTACAGGCACTGCAGGTATGTGGTACACTGACACGCAGGCAAAGCACCATACATATAAATACAGATACTGTTTAGGTAAGTTTTGTTTTTGTTTTTTTAAAGGCACGTTGAACCAAGCAAGATGTACAGTTTTATCATCCCAGCAGTCTGAGGCCAACCTCAGGTCTGTATGGCTGGGGACACAGAGCTCAGGGGTGGGGTAACGCCTGCCTAACATGTGTGGATTGTCCTGGGTGCAATCTCTAGTCATGAGATTGCAGAGGAAAAAAACATGGACACAAGGAAGAGAGCAAGCACAGGGTCACCAGTAAGCTGAGGACTCTTAAGTAGAGAGGCCAGGGTCTTGTTTGTCCTGTCCCCCAAAGAACACCCCATCTTTTAAGAATTCTTGCTTTACCTGCTGGTGATCCCCAATCAGAATAAGATGCTGGCAAGCTTTGCTTAGTGTGGCGATGGTGTGAGCCTCGAGAACCTCGGCAGCCTCTTCTACAATGACAATCCGAGGCTCCACTTGCTGCAAGATCTGGCGGTACTTGGCAGCACCTCAAATCAACAAAGACGAGAGGCTTCTCTGAGCACAAGACCTAAAGGGCCGGTTCTTTTGTACCTCCCCTGGGCTGCTAGAAAACTCAGCCCTCCTGCTCATCGAGGGCTGGAGCAGCCACTGAATAAGAGGACGGGCACTGAGTGAGCAGATAAGATGAGCTTATGTTGGAGTTTTAAACTCTGCAACAAATAGGAAAATGTCCCAAGGTAAGGGCTGCTTACGACAACAGCTTCATGTGATGGGATGAGGCACCAGGGGAAACTTGGCTTCAGTAAGTAAATCCCACCCACCTTCCTACCTGTGGTTGTCATGCCCACAACCTGAGCATCTTTGAGGATGTGAAGGTCTTCCTGGAGCCTCAGCTCGGCCATTCTTTCTGTCCATGTGCGGTACTGACGTTCATAGTTGAGGATCTTCCGGCGAGTGTCAGCTTGGTACATCTGCAGCCACAGCCTGGAGAATGAAGAACCAGGGAAGGAAGCCTTGCTTTAGTAAGTACTGAGGGAACAATGTGCCAGCTCCTGAAGTAGCCCTAAAGCTCTACAGTTTACAGGCCAGATAGGGAGAATGAGGGGCCCAGAATTACAGAAACCCAGAGTTGAAAATGCCCCATAAAAGATGTGCAGGGTCATCAGGATGTGAGGACAGAGACACACTCTGCTGTGAGAGCCTCCAGTGTCCTCCTGCTCCTCACCTGAGCCGTATGAGGTCCTGCCCAATCTGACCCATTCTAGGAACCAGACAGAATCCCATGGGAAATGACACAGACTGGCTGGGCTTGGGCATGGGCACCACACACAGACCTATAGAGCTGCCATCGAGAGCTCAGGTCCAGCTGCCAGACGTCCTGGATCCCACTGGCCTCAGCCTCAGTCATGGTGTTCAGTTTGCGAAGCTCAACCTTCACTCTCCTCTTCATCTTCTTTTTCTGGCTGCGCTGAGTCTGCGGACATGAGTACCAGGCAAGACAGTGAGCAGAGGCCCCAAAACAGAACAAAGGGGTTGCCCCCCAGTGAACATTGTCTACTCTCCCAACAGGTGCCTTCCATCATGAAAAGTTGCACAAAGCTTCAGAGAACTGCCTGGGCCCCAAATCTGTCCTGATTCTTCCTGAGATGTGACCTACGGTGCTGGTTGTGGGTGTGGCAATGTGAAGAGTCCAAGAAGGACCTCCAGCAATGGCTGACCACTGGCCATGATGTCTCAGATGTCATCATGACATTTTCTGACAGTTTGGGTCATGGCTCTGTCTTCCCCGTTCCCTTCTCCTCCTGTCTGGCCTCCCTTTGATGGCCACTTCTTCCTCTGTCTAAAGTGGGTGTGTGCCATCGAAGTAGCAGGGCTGGGCTCCTACTGAATGCTCTCTGGGCCACTGCCTGGGAGCCGGTGTTTAACACAGGCTCTGCCACAGGCCTGCTCCAACGGTCCTCACTCACAAAACCTTCTCCTTTCTGGATCTGTCACTGAATGAGGCTGCAAGATTTTATGAGGACTGGCATGTAAACTGATGTCACCACACTAAAGGCCCCAACCCCAAGTGACACAGCAGAGACAGGCCCAATACACAATTTTGAGAACTGGGCTCATTTCTCTGCCCCCACACAATACCGTTGAACTGAACCAGTAAGGCACAAAGTCTATTACTGCAGCCAGACTGTCCTTAGGAGACCTTCATTCTCAGCAAGGGTTACAAACTGGTATGTGGAGTAGCAAGTCTCCTGATGATATAGTAACACATAGAAAATGCTTGACCAAAAGTTTACATGAGACTAAGTCACACCTCCCTGCCTCTAAGACAAGACCTTGATTCCAGGGTGACTGAAGGATGAAGTTTGCTGGCTTTTTTTTTTTTTTAACTTTTTTGTTTGTTTATTTATTTGTTTTTTTCAAGACAGGGTTTCTCTGTGTAGCTCTGGCTGTCCTGGAATTCACTCTGTAGACCAGACTGGCCTCGAATTTAGAAATCCGCCTGCCTCTGCCTCTGCCTCTGCCTCCCAAGTGCTGGGATTAAAGGCGTGCGCTACCACAGCCCGTCGAAGTTTGCTGTCTTGTTTTACTCCGGTCTCCTGTATCTGCACTGGTAGCTCACACACACCAAGGCTGACAAGGTGTGTAAGATAACAAGCAGCACACTGTGATGTGACACCCGACCACCTGCTTCTCATCTAAGTTGCTTGTTCCTGCCAGGGCCCCTCTGACGGCCATAGCTTTTCTGCCCTCAGGTTATGTGCATGATGCTGAGGATGAAATAATGTGACAGTAGTAACAGCAACGGCCAAACCCTGCAGAGCCTGTTCCAGTAGAGCCTAATGCAAGTCTGCCTGGAAAGACTAAGTCCTCTCCTCTGTCCTGTTGGGGCTTTCAGGGAAGGCAGCTGGTTTACCTCCCACTCTTCTGTAGCCTGCTCCGGCCCAGCTATGGTCCCAGGCACATCCTGGTCCAGTCTCATGGCCAACAGCATCTTAGCCAGCTCCTGGTCGGCCCCGCTCTCTTCCTTCTTTCTTCTCCGTGGTCTCACCACCTCTTCCTCTTCAATCACTCGATCCGCTTGGATCAGGTCAGCCTCCTCCGCAATCTCGATTAGGGAACCCTCCTCTTCCCCATCCTCCTCTTCTTCCCCCTCTGCCTGGGCTAAGAAAGGAAGCAGGTAGGAAAAGGACACCTGTAAGGGCTCACTCACAGGACACGCTCATGGCACTAAGCGTCCTGGGAAGGGAAGTGGGACAAATACCAGGGACAGAGACTTAACGTTTTCCGTGCATGTGTTTATTACACTTTATTAAGTTTTAAAAATCATATAGAAGAAGGCTCTTTTTGGGGGGTTGTGTTGACAGTCTCACTGCATAATCCTAGAATTTACTATATAGATCAGCCTAGTCTCAACCTGTCCGAGACCTGCTGGCCTCTGCTTCCCGGATGCTGGAATTTAAAGGTGTGCACCGCCAGACCCAGTCAAAAAAATGTTTCATTTTTGTCTTCTTTTTTGAGACAGGATTTTTCTGTATAGTCTTGGCTATCCTAAAACTCGCTCTATAGACCAGGTTGGCCCTTGAACTCATAGAGATCTGCCTACTTCTGCCTCTCAAGAATGCTGAGATTAAAGGTGTGGGTCGCTGCCACCCAGCTATCCAAAAATGCCTTTTAAGAAAGTTTTTACTGAGCCGGGCAATGGTGGCATACGCCTTTAATCCCAACATTCGGGAGGCAGAGGCAGGCAGATTTCTGAGTTTGAGGCCAGCCTGGTCTACAGAGTGAGTTCTAGGACAACCAGGGCTACAGAGAGAAACCCTGTCTCAAAAAACCAAAAAAAAAAAAAAAAAAGTTTTTACTGTATCAAATATATAAACGAGGGCAACTGTAAGTAAAATGAAAGTGTGAAATTTACTTTTTATCTATTTTTAAAATACACACTCACACACATTGTAGCTGCCTTTAGTTACACCAGAAGAGGGCACTGGGTTCCATTAACAAATGGCTGTGAGCCACCATGTGGTTGCTGGGAATTGAACTCAGGACCTCTGGAAGAGCAGTCAATGCTCTTAACCACTGAGCCCTCTCTCCAGCCCTATTTTTTATTTTTTAATGTGGATCGCTTGCACGTATGTGTGTACCACAAGCATCCCTGATGTTGGTATAGGATTCCCTGGGGCTAGACAGTTGTAAGCTGCCATGTGGTTGCTGGGAACTGAACCCTCTCTCTCCAAGAGTAATCTCTGTGGTCTCCCACTCTGTGTGTGTATTGGGGGAGCTGTTGTAGCCTTTGACTCCTGAGGGCTGTGATTATAATTGTGCACAACGTATAGTAAGTCCTCTGGCTTCTTTTTCTGTTTTATTTTTCCTTGAGACAAGGTTTCTCTGCATATCCCTGGCTCTCCTGGAATTTGTTCTGTAGAACAGGTTGGCTTTGAATTCAAAGATCCTCCTGCCTCTGCCTCCTGAGTGCTGTGATTAAAGGTGTGTACTACCACTGCCTGGCTTTTCTGGTTTCTTTTAAATTTATATTTATTATTCAGTGTGTATGTGTGCATGTGCATGTTTGTGTGTATGTGTGTGTGTGTTTTGAGGCAAGTTCTCACACTGCCCAAGCTGGCTTTCAAGTTGTAATAGAGTTGTGAGTTTTCATTTTCTTTTTGAGACAGGGTCTCTCAACAGCCCTGGCTGTCCTGGAACTCATTACTCATGATTGTAGACCAGGATGGCTTTGAACATACAGAGATCCTTCTGCCTTTGTCTACCTAGTACTGGAATAAAGATGTGTGTGATGAGCCCTGGCTTCAAGTTATTATATAGGTAAGGATGACCTTGAATTTCTGATCCTCCTGCCCGTACCTCCTGAATCCTGGGCTTACAGGCATGTCCCACCATGCCTGGTTACAGGGTGCTAAGGATGGATCCTACCTAGAGCTCTGTACATATGAGGCAAGCATCAGCTGTGACTGTAACAAGCTTGTTTCTTTTTTTTTTATACTTTTAAAAAATATTTATTTATTTATTTTATTGATGAGTACACTGTAGCTGTCTTCACATACACCAGAAGAGGGCATCCAATCCCATTACGGATGGTTGTGAGCCACCATGTGGTTGCTGGGATTTGAACTCAGGACCTCTGGAAGAGCAGTCAGTGCTCTTAACCGCTGAGCCATCTCTCCAGCCCAACAAGCTTGTTTCTAACAAGCACTTTCCGTGTGTGTACTAAACAGCAGTGCTCTCTGAACTGTACCCATCAGTCTGGGCCTTGCTTTCCTGTTAAGTCTTCTGCTGACTGACTCAGTTTGTCAAGTATGAACACTGCATTTTGAGTCATGTTGTTCTGGCTTTCACCATACTCTAGCTGACGGTGTCCTGGGTCACATGACCCTCTTACCTACGTTCTCAGGTCCTGCTGGAGATGCACTCTGAGTGAAGGAACCCACACCAAGCCCCAGCCATTCGAGCATCATGGAATGCTTCGAGGGCTGCACACAGACCCAGTCAGAATCCTGTGAAGGAAGAATTGTCAGTCATGAGAATTCTGTGACAACCATTATGAAGACAGTGTCTCTTCAAAGGATTTAAAATTCTTTCCTGGGCTGGAGAGATGGCTCAGTGGTTAACAGCACTGGCTGCTCTTCCAGAGGTCCTGAGTTCAATTCCCAGCAACCATATGGTGGCTCACAACCATCTATGAGATCTGGTGCCCTCTTCTGATATGCAGGAATTCATGTAGGCAGAACACTATATACATAGTAAATAAAAAGGACGATATAAAATTCTTCCTTGAGGATAAATCTCAAGAGTAGGTTCTTGCTTAGTTAGTTCTAACCCAAGCATAGAAAATCTAAATCTTATAGCTTACAGCACCTTACAGCTTAGAGGCTGCTGGTTCAAACCCAGCAGGTGGACTGCAGAGCCTTATTCCTAACCAGGACCCTCAGTTGCTTAACACAGGAGGGCACTGATCCCTACAACAGCATCAGGTCTACAAACAAGGCTCTTAGAAGACTGTGGGTTCTTCTGGAGCTGCTTGCATGGGCTGAGCCTCCTCCAGCAGCCCTACCTGCACAGGTCCACTCATGAGGCTTTCCCAGTGCTGGGGAGAGATGTACTTCTCCAGGTGCTGCTCCCGGAGGACACCGTGCATGGTGCATTCCAGGGTCTGGGCCCCTTCCTGAAGTTTTTGCTCTGACTCCTTCATCTCTGTCACAATCTGCCAAGAACAGAAAGAGGCAATGAAGAAACATTCTCTCCCAAACCCAGCCTCTGCCCTGAGAGAAAATAAAGTCAAGAAAGAATCAAGAAGGAGTAAGTAAACAGACCAGTCACCAAACCTGTTTTTCAAGTACACCATGGTCCTGAGAACCAGGCACTAATGTTCAATGGCCTAACCATGTAGGTAGCAGGGGAGCGCAAAGGACAGTGGAAAACAGGCCTGAGACACTCTGGTCAGACCACAAGCCTCACAGCCTCTTTTCCTCTTTGATGATAAGATCAGAGATATTTTTTTTCCCCACTTGTTTAAGACACAGGTTCTTACTACATTGTGCAGGCTGGTCCCAAACTTCTAGTTTAACCAATCTCTCCTGCCTCAGTTTCTCTAATTGCTGGGAATAAAGGTCTGTGTCACTGTACCCAGTTGTGATTTTAATTGGTTACCCTGCTCAGATAAAAAGATACTTCCCAGTTGAGGCCTGATGATGCTAACTTTTAATCCCAGCACTCAGGAGGCAGAGGTAAGTGGATCTCTGATTAGAGGCTAGCCTGGTCTACAGAGTGAATACTAGGACAACAGAGGGTACACAGAGAAACCTGTCTGGAAAAACCAAGATGCTTCCCAGTGAGCAGGCTATGTCCTGTAGGTAGTGTGGAAGAGGCAGACTGAAGGTTCTGGATCCTTCAGAGGGCTGTGGAGGCTGCTGGGAAGCAGCTGCTGTGCTGTGTGGGTCCCTCAGCCCCTGGCTAATCCATAACCATGACTCACACTCATATAGGCCCTTCGCAGGTGCATTGGGAGGGTGCGGCGGAATTCCCGCTTGTTCCTCAGCTCCCTCAGGGTGAACTGCTTCAGGATTTCACTGTTGCTCCTACCGCCCACTCGCACAATGCTGGTCCTCTGACAGCCGTAGATGCCTGTAAAGCAGTATTCGATATCTGAGGTCAGAGTTGTGTGTGGGATTTTATCTCAACTGGTGCCTTAGGGAGCAAACCCGTGCTTACAGGACATTCACTCCAGATAAAATGTGAGCTGCCACGCACAGAGGTGCAGTGCTTCAGAGCAAGGCTGTGGACCGGGACACACAGACAGAGAGCTCTGCCTTTAACACTAATGCTGTACAGCACGAGAAAGGGAGCGAGGCACTCAACTGGTGGCTCACTGTGGGCGAGCTAGAAGCAGGAAGAGCGTCCTTGTATGGTTACAGCCTGGATAAGGAAGTCCATCTCTGCAGCTCTAAGGATGCTTCAGCAGAAATGTGACCCGCTCTACACATGGAATGGCTGCCTGTAAGCTAGAGACAGCTTCTGACTTGCTTTCCTATCTGGTTCATTAAACCACTTACCCCAACAGCTATTACTCTAATACTGAAGGACCTGCTGCAGTAAATACACAGAAAGAACCTGCGCTGGCTGCTGCGTGGGGTCTATAGGGGCTCACGCAGAAATGCAGAGCAATGGTTCAACAAAAGGAGGAGTGAGTGTTTATTTATTCACTGGGCTAACTAGTATTAAAAAGATTTATTTTATATGTATATGACTGTGTCAGTTGGGGTCCACGAGGCCAGAAGAGGGTGTCTGATCCCCTGGAGTAGGTGTTACAGGCAGACTGAGATGTGTTCAGGATGGGTGCTAGGAACTGAACTCACGTCCTGTGGAAGAGCACCAGGCACTCCCAACCACTCAGCTGTTTCTTCAGCCCCTAGTGAACATTTTTTTTTTGGTTTTTCGAGACAGGGTTTCTCTGTGTAGTCCTGGCTGTCCTGGAACTCACTCTGTAGACCAGGATGGCCTCGAACTCAGAAATCCACCTGTCTCTGCCTCCCAAGTGCTGGGATTACAGGCGTGCGCCACCACCGCCTGGCTGAACATTTTTTTTTGAGTGACTAATATGTTGTAAAAATTCACTAAGAACTTTTCCAGCCCTTAATGTTCCCAGCCCCTGGCTCGGCATGGACCAAAATCAGCCATCAACCATCAATCAATCAACCAATCAATCATCAATCACGGGGCTGCAGAGACAGCTCGGCAGTTAAGATCACTGGCTGTTCTTCTGGAGGACCTGGGTTCGATTCCCAGCACCCACACAATCATAAGTAACTCCAGTTCCAAGGGATCAGACACTCTTCTATTCTCTGACACCACGATGCATTCATGTGGTGTACAGACATACATGCAGGCAAATGGCCAAACACATAAAATAAAAACATTCTTCAAAATTTTTTTAAAAATACAAAAAGGAAAAGAAAAAGAAAAGAAAATGAAGAAAGCAGACTTGGGGGGCAATGGGACAATTCCACTTGAGACATCTGAGGTAAGGCTTGAAGAAGGAGCTGGCACAAGATGGGCTAGTGCACCTGAGCTGAGGTAGAGAAGACAAAGAATTCAACGACTGAAGGTGATGGTGCCCCTGGGTTTGGGAAGCACAGACAGAGTCGGGATAAGGACTGTGGACAAAGATGAGAAAGCCACTGAGGTTGCTGACATTGAGAGAGAGAGAGAGAGAGAGAGAGAGAGAGAGAGAGAGAGAGAGAGAGAGAGAGAGAGCGAGCGCGCACGCACGCGCGCGCACTAGCGCATGTACGGTAGTAAGAATGGAGCCCGGGGCCTTGTGACACAGAGGAAGTGAGGTAATCTCCATCCCCAGTAGAAAACAATTTTGTCAAAAGACATTCCTTACCTTCTAGAAACTGGTCCAAAGCATGATTAGTATAACATACGACCAAGATGGGGAACTTCTGGGCACTAATTTGCCAAACAGACATATTGGTCAGAAGAGCTTGAACAATTTTTAGTCCCACGTAAGTCTTGCCTAGAAAACAGGGAAAAGACAAGTTACAAAATCTACACTTCTTTCAGTTTAATATTCTCATTCAATAACTTAAAAGGTGAACAACTGTGTATTTCAAATCTTAATAAACATATTTATCTGAAATTTTGCTACACGGAGAAAACACAGACACTGCTTTCCAAATACCAGTTCACTATCTGCTTAAAAATGTTCTCATTAGCCAGATGTGGTGGCACATAACCTGTAATCCCAACACATGGAAAGCAGAGGCAGGAGGACTGCTGTGGGCCCGCTTCCAGATGGGTACCACGAGGATCTCTGGCTGGGCTGAGGACAGGGTGTGATCGGCGGCTGCCTTGTTTCCTCTGTCCGCTGGTAGCCCAGGATGGGTGGGGAGCAGACAGAGAGTCCGCTGCTGCCCTGCCACCAACCATGTCTAAGTGTTACAGCTCTTTGAAGTGCGCAGGCTGGCCAGTGAAGAGGGGAAGGACTGTGACAAAAGCTCTCAGGCACAGGGAAGAATCTCACACACCTTTACTTTTGAGCTTGGCCAATATATACAGTTTTGGGGTGGCAGCAGGTAACCCCTATTGGCTTGGTCTGAGAGCTTGGGAATGCCTCATCTGCATGAAGGTGCTACTCCTACGTGATCAATGACCATGGACCTCTCTGTGGGAGGGACTGTGGAGAGCTTGAAGCTGAGAGAGCCAGATGGCTGGGAAGGTCCGAAGCACCTCCCGGCCCAGCGGCCCAGAGGCCAGGGTCCCGGGGCTTCTAGGACTCTTCTACCAGGCTTTCCGGCCTTCACAGCTCACTGCCCCACAGACTGCTGTAAATTCAAGCTAGCATGGACTACACAGTAAGACTGTCTTATAAAACAGAAATATTCATCCTTCTTTCTTGAGAACACATTAGAAGAAAAAGACTTTTACAGTGAATAACAGCTAGACGAAAGAAAGAAAAAAAAACTTCTTTTGTGGCTAGGTCTCATACAGGGTAACCTGAAACTCACCATGTAGCTGAAGATAACAACCTGAACTCCTGACCATTCTGCCCCTACCTTTCAAGTGCTAGGATGACAGATGGGAACGAACCACTACATTTTGGTTGTGTGGTGCTGGCTTTATGTACACCAGCATGCATGCAACCTACTTCAATGACATTCCCAGCCTAGATGAAAAGTTCTGATATGAGTTTCCTTCATTTTTAACTCTGACAACAAAGATAGTTCAGTTCACAGTTCAGTTAAACACACACAGAGAACACACATTTGTCTCCAGATCATCAAATGGAAGCCTTCCCCTTTCCACATCCTTCTCCTTAAAGAAGCTGCTGACTCCTGTCTGTGCTGCATACATCACTTACAAGATGGGGACCGGACTGTGGCTACTACCCATTGTCTGCCTTAGCTGGACCAAGACTCTGCCTCCCTGTCATTGAAGGATGCTGGCATAAGAACCCACACGTTGTGAGGATGATAAATGAGCCAGAGTGACTACTACTAATTCCCGTAGCATAGTGTCTGTGCTGCCCAGGCCAGGCTTCACTGCCTCCTGCCTCAGTCTCCCCAGCAGCTGGACTGCAGTGTAGATACACTGGCTGATAAATAGTATTTTAAAATCTGTTGTTATTGAGATTCCATCTCTTCTTCCTCCTTACTCCACTCTCCAAATGGTAGGTTTACAGGCATGTGCCATGGCTCAGGCTCAATTTTTTTTGCTTGTGTATTTGTTTTTTTGTTTTTCAAGATGATGTCTCTGTGTAGTCCTAGCTGTCCTGGAACTCGCTCTGTAGACCAGGTTGTCCTCTGACTCAGAGATCTGCCTGCCTCTGCCTCTGCCTCCTGAGTGCTGGGATTAAAGGCATGCACCACCTTGCCTAGCTCTTGTTTTTGTTGTTGTCCTGGAACTTGTTCTACAGACCAGGCTGGCCTTGAACTCAGGGATCCTGCCTGTCTCTGCTTCCAGAGTGCTAGGATTAAAGGTGTGCATGACCACTACCAGGCAAAATATTGTGTTCATTTTTTAAAATGTACTTTATTCTTTTAAAAAAAAAAAGTTTATTGATTTGATGCATATGAGTACACGGTAGTAGTCTTCAGATCTTCCAGAAGAGGGCATCGGATCCCATTACGGATGGTTGTGAGCTACAATGTGGTTGCTGGGAATTGAACTCAGGACCTCTGGAAGAGCAGTCAGTGCTCTTAACCGCTGAGCCATCTCTCCAGCCCTAAAAATGTACTTTTGTGTGTCTGAATACAAGTACTGTATAAATGTGCAATCAACCTCGGAGGCCAGAACTAGCAGGTATATGGTACATTTAAATGCAAGCAAAACATTTAAATACATTGTAAAGAATTGTAGCCAGGCATGGTAGCATATCCTTTTAATTCCAACACCCAGGAAGCAAAAGCAGGTGAAGCTCTGAGTTTGAGACCAGCTGGTCTACATAGTAAATTCCAGGCCAATCAAGGCAACTGAGTGAATTTCTGTCTCAAAACAACAACAACAACAAAACAACAAATAAATAAAATTACAAATGGACATTATTCTTATGCAGCTACAGATCTCTCTTCTGGACAGAGTGCAGGAAACACATTGCTAGTAAGAGAGCTTGTCAAGCAGCTCCTGACCTGCTAACACAGTGGAGCCTGTGAGAACAGTGCAGGCACCACAAACATGCCTCAGACTCTAACAGGGAAGCACCTCCATGACAACAGGAACTCCAGGACTGCAGAGAGTGTTACAGCAGGGACACGTGACCCCCAAGTGTGAGTTTGTGTGTGAAGACTCATAGGATACACAGGAAGATCATTTATGTCATTTGCTTAAGGAGGGGACTGGGTGGTGGCTGGAGGGAGGCGGTGACTTAAAAATGTGAGCAGCTGTTACTTCTTAAAAGGTAATTATAAAATGAGTGACCCAGAAACCGTCACATCTTAAATGAACAAAGCCCAGTGTCAGGACTTGGCCTGGAAAGTCTGATTGCAGACTCCAGAGCAGGCCCTCCTCCTCCTCTCTGCAGGAGCTTCCCTCACAGCAGCCCTTCCATGAGCAACAAACTTTCCATTCTGCTCCAGTCTGTGTTTTGTGGGCAGGGCTGTAGCTCCAAGCTGGCCCTGAACCTGGGAGTAACAGAAAAGCCACCAAATCCTGATCCTCTTGTGTCCACCCCCGAGAGCTGGGATTACCACGCCCACTACACAGACTTCTAACTTTTTGGTTAAAGATCTCCACGTAGCTTGCCTGTCAGGGCACTCACTACGCAGACCAGTTTCACCAAGATTGAACTCACAGAGATCCACTTGTCTGTGTCTCTTGAGTACTGGGATTAAAAGTGTGAGCCATCACCCCTGGCCTAATTTCAAACAAACAAACAAACAAACAAACAAACAAACCATGAATCGCCCTTACTTATCAGTACTTCGAAGACCTGCTTCTACCCCCTTGCCTAATTTTGCATATGCTTTTGGGGAGTTAATTTAGCAGTCTTTGCATATCTGCTAGCATAAATAATAAGCTCAAAGCATGTTACATGCAAGTCACATACAAGCACAGTCTTGTGTTTACTGTTAAATAAAAATGTACACATAAGCACAGAGATAGATACAGGTCAGACAGATTGTACGTAACCTTAGCTACTCTTCCAGAGTAGGGTCAGAGTGAGTGTGGGGAGTCCTGTGAGTGGGACCCTCAAGCGCAGCAGAGAGAGGAGTCAGGAGGCTCCATGCCGGCTGACCAAGTTCAAGTCCCAGGTCTGCTCACTGTGTGAGCTTCAGAGCACCTCACTGCTCTTTTTCTTTTTTTTTTAAAGATTTATTTATTTTATGTATATGAGTACACCATTGCTCTGTTCAGACACACCAGAAGAGGGCATCAGATCCCATTACAGATGGTTGTGAGCCACCATGTGGTTGCTGGGAATTGAACTCAAGACCTCTGGAAGAGCAGTCAGTGCTCTTAACCACTGAGCCATCTCTCCAGCACCACCTCACTGCTCTTAAGTGAGAGAAAGTTTACCCTTTCTTTGACTTAGTTTTTCCATCAGCAAAATGATTTTACTTACCAAGCAGGGCTACTGTCACACCCAGTGACCTAACATATGTAAAGCAGGGCAAATGATGCTGGGTACAGCATACTGTAATTATATATTTGACAGTACTTAATTTAAGATAGCATAAAGCCAACAAGCCTTTGAAAGAGAAGCTGTACCTCTTACCCTAGCAGTCCTCATGTGAGCCTGAGTTCTGACCCATCTCTAGGCTTGCCTATGGTCCCCATTGGGCATACTATAAGTGGCTGTGCCACAAGCCACATTCATTGACTTCAGGGAACTATTTCTTTCTTTCTTTTTTTTTTTTTTTTTCCATGAGGGGGAGTTTATTCAGGAGGTAGGGAAGAGGAAAGAGAGAGAGCAGAGAGGCAGAGGAGTAGAGGCCGGCCATGACCATGTGGAGAGAGGGAAGAGGGAAGAGGGGGCAGAGGACAGCTTGCAGGCACAGGAGTAAGGGGGCAAGAAAGGAGCAAGAGCCAGGGAACTATTTCTAAATGAGGCATGTGAGACACCTAGAGCAACATCTCCCTTGTGTGATGTCACAGGCTTTGAGAAATTCTCTTACCTGTTCCAGGAGGTCCTTGAATGATAGCCAGCTCCCTTGTGAGGGCGAACTGTAAGGCTTCCATCTGGGAGTCATCCAGCTTCAGGTCTTCTTTGGAGGGCCATTGGCTAAAGTCTAAGACATTAATCCTAGGACGCCTCAAGGCCTCAGCACCTCTCAGAGACTTCCTACTGGCTGAGGGATTCTCCATGAGGGGGGTGAAATCATACCTGCCACCCATCAGCAAGTACCTCGGCTCCCTCACGTAGGAGTCACACTCCACAATGTTCCTCTGGAAGGGGACGTCTTCCTCCTGGACCTCTTGTAGTCCCTCCAGGACGTGCCGGTAAGCCTCAAAGTAGGCTGTGGTCTCCACCATGAGGAAAGAGTCAGAGGGCTGGACGTCCGCGAGCAGCTGCTGGCTCTGCTCGTTGAAGCACAGCTGGACGATTCCTTGGCAGAGATCTTCGTGCTCTCGGTTTGAAACGGTGGCAAAAAGAAACGTCTCAAAGTTGTCCTTGGACATGCAGACTAAAGACCCATACAGCAGTCGCTTGGAATTCTGCCAGCGAACAAACTTGAGTGGTTTTGTATCAAACTGCACTTTGTACACGATGCCTGATGCTGAGCACATGGGGGTGATGATCCTAGCATCAAAGTAGACTCGGATGTCATCGAACTTCCTCTTCCTTAGACCCTGGTCCTCAAAGCTTTCCAGGAGCTTCAAAATGCCTTCCCGAAGGGGCCTAACAAAATCCTCTCGCAGGAGGCGGAAGTGAGTGTCCAGGTAGACAGCAGTGCTCTCGTATTTCCCGGAAATGATGTTGGGGCGAAGGAAGGGCCTCTCATCCAAGTGCACCTCGTTGTAGGTGGGGTAGATGGGCATGGCCCGGTAGCTCTCAACTTCGCCTTCTGCCTCAGCCTGCACTAGAGTGTAGGTGTCCACTCTCAGAGTGCCCTCACGCCTCTTTTCCTGCAGATGTTTAATGATGGCCTGCACCTTTTCCAGATTCTTCTCTGTCTCCTCTTCTATGTCAACCCCAGAGGCTCTCAGAGCATTAAGAGAGTCTGGCAGGAGAGAGATGAGCATGGAGGTCTCCTGCACAGAGCTGGCAGGGAAGACACTGACGAGATCCTGGAGGAGGGATATGATGTTGCTTATGTGCTCTGGGTACTGGTTCCGAATGTCAGGGACCGGCTCAGTGATCATCCCCACCACGTAGGCCGGCAGGCAGACTCTGAGGAACTTGGAGTTGCTCAGGATGCCCAGCACGTGCAGGATGCTCTGCCGGTCGATCCTGGAGCTGCATGCCTTCCGGAGAACTTGGCAGATCAGCTCAAGGAAGCTGGGCTTCATGTAGGAATGAGAAAGCAGCTCCTTGAGACCTAGGCTTGTGGCAAGTGTGATGGCCACCTCAGAGGGCTCTTTCTGCAGGAGGCTCTCCAGGAACTTGTAGCCCAGTCTTTTCGTCTGCTGTGGCTGCTCTGCTGGCTTCTGGAGAGGGGTGTGCCATTGCTGAAAATTGTCACTGGGCCACGGTGGTCGGTGGTTCCTACCCTCCTGGTCATCATTTCTCCTCCTGGTGTCATTCTGGCTTTGTCTCTGGTCTCTAGCTTCATCACTGGTGTGCCCTTCCTGGTTTCTTCTTCCCTGATGTGGGTTCCTGCCCATAGCCCTAAATCTCTCTTCCCTCTGTCGGAAAGGAGCGGGATGGTTGCTGGCCCTCGGATGCCTTCCAGCATGGTTGGTGGCTGCTGGGTTAGTGGTTTGATTTCTAGCTCTTGGTGGTCCGTCTCCATCTACAGGACCTAAACACAATGGGGATACTGCGTAAGCACAGAGTCAAGGAGTCATGACGTCTAATGAGACAACACTGAACACACTTTCATCTTCCACAACAAACAAGCAGCTCAGAGTTTGCTTGTAGAGACTAGAGTTTCTTGCCAAGAGTTGAGAGGTGATAGCTCAGCAGTTAAGAGCACACACTGTTCTTCCGGAGATCAGTTCCCAGCATCCACGTTGGACAAAACTGCTCTCACTCCAGCTCCACAGGGACTCAACGCCTCTGGCTTCTGCAAGCACAGGCACACTTGTACCCGTAACACAGAGTTTAAAAATAGTAAGTTTTACTTATTTATTTTATTTTTTTCAAAACAGTCTTACTATGAAGACCTAGCTGTCCTGGAACTCACTCTGTACACCAGGCTGGCCTTGAACTCACTGAGATCCACCTGCCTCTGCCTCCCCAGTGCTGGGATTAAAGGTGTGCGCCACCACACCCAGATTATTAATTTTTTTAAAGTTTCTTATCAAATTGTATGATAAATAAAATATAGAGCTACAGAGCCAGCTAGGTGTGGTGCCTCCTGTTATCCTTAGAGACTAAAGCAGGAGGATCATCCAAGGCTAACTTGGATAGCAGTTTCTTAGAAGCTAGCTTGAGCTGCATGGCAAGAGGCTCTCGCATGCGTATGTGTGTAAGTGTGTGCGTGTGCGTGTGTGGCCTTGAATTCATGAGGCCCTGGCTTCTATCCCAACACTACAGGAAAAGATGATTACTACTGCTGAATAGATTACGAAGAGACTGTTTTCCTGAAAGATACAAAAGAGAAACTGAGCAGGCACTGGACACAGGGTGGAGAGTGTTACCTCATCTCACCTCATGCCCCACGCTGGCTCCTAACTTTCAGAAGGTTCTAGTCTCCGGCTAGCACAAAAGTCAAAACACAAGAGTCAGCAGCAAGGCTTCATCACTTCCTCGCTGTGGAGCCTTGGGCAGTTTCTTGGTTTCTCAGTCTTTGGCTGCTATAGATAAAATGTTTATAAAATGTCAGGGAAACACTGCCAATGTGTATCTCAATGTTTCATGTAGACTTACTCAGAGGAAATGTCTTTTAACACACACAGAAATGATAAGACGGTTGGAGCCACTCTTGGGGCTCCGTTGTGAACTCTGCAGCTACTGTGCTAAACAACTACCACGCGCTGCAAGGGCACGTGGAATCGGACAGTGAAGGAAACGCTACCTGACCTTTGCCCTGCAACAGGAAATGCAGCTTGAATGGGAAAGAGGAAGGCAGTGTCTCTCCCTTCCAAGATGTGTTTTAGTTTTGTGGCTAATCCACAGACTGTGGAGAGAAGGAAGCATGACCAGCTAGTTTCCTTATCGGAAAATGAAAACTGAAACCTGAAACTTGAACTCTGATTCAGGGAACTGAAAATCGAAACTAGCCACTGGGGAATGACTAGCTCTCCAACCCCCACACTTACCGACTGCCTGTCTCACACAGGGAGCCGGTGCCCTGTGCAACCTCAGTCAGTCACTTTCCTTTCCTCTACAATGATTCTGGAGCTGACCCTAGCAGAGTGGTGTGATCTGAAAACACAGGCTGTGCACAATTGGACAATAAATGCAAGGAAAGCTACAAATATATGTAATACTTAAGATTTAAATAAGACCATGGACTAGTCAGGCAGTGATGGCACTTTAATTCCAGAACTTGAGAGATGGAGGCAGAAGCAACCTGTGAGTTCAAGGCTATCTTGGTCTACAGAGTGTGTTCCAAGACAGCCAGGATAACTCACAGAGAAGCCAGATGCAAATACACTTAAATGGTTTTTTGTTTATTTTGTTTGATATAGGGTCTCACTGTGTAATCCTGGTTGGCCTGCAATTCACTAGACTACCACTGGTTTAAAACAGAAATTTGTTTGCCTCTACCTTCCTGCTGCTGAAATCAGAGAAGTGTACCACACGGCCAGGTCCTGTTTTGGAAATAGGCTCTAACCCCATAACCCAATTTGGCCTTAAATTTTTAAAAACTTTTACTACTATTATTATTTTATGTATATGAATATTTTGAACCACAAATGTCTTTGCATGTGCATTAATTCTCATAAAATGTTAATATCTTGGACACGATTAACTTAAGAAATTAAAGCATTACATTTTATTAAGTTGCCATTAAATTAAAAAAAAAAATTCAAGGTCAGTGAGATGTCTCAGTCGATGAGGGAACTTACTACCAACCCTGACAATCTAAGTTCAGTTCTCAAGACCACATGATGGAAGGAAGAAACCCAAGTCTTAGGAAAAGACCTCTGGTCTACATACACACACACACCAGTAAAAGTGACTGTTACTGGTTATCTTTTGAATTTCCCAGTGGTGCTACTGGAGATGAGAAGCAGTTTCTGTTGGACAGCCCTGCTGCAACCACCACTCAGTCTGCTTCTCACAGCCTACAGCTGTGGCAGGAACCAAACAGGAGCCTCACAGGAGGTGAGTGCTCCAACGCTGAGCTATGGCTTCAGCCCAGGTTTCTCAGACAGGGTTTCACTGTGGAGCTCAGGATGGCCTTACGCTCACTGTATCGCTGGCCTCAGATTCTCAATCCTCTCTGCTGGAGAGACAGGCCTCCTATCATCTTATCACAGAACCATCTGCAGCTCTCCTAGGGAGACCAGGCTAGCCTCAAACTCAGATCCACCTGCCTCTGCCTCCTGAGTGCTGGGATTAAAGGTGTGCGCCATCACCATTCAACGAGGTCCTTATTAACTGAAACCACAGGCCATCTCAGGTGGGTCTCTCCTTTCCATCTAATAGAAACCCTTACCTCTGTGGTTGGGAGGGGGATTCCTGGGTCTGGCCTCTACATGAGGTCTTCTGTCTTCCATGTCTGAGTCTCAGGAATTTTGCCACATTCACCTGACTTCGTTACCTGTAACTGCAGAGGCTGAGAGTCACCAGTGCCCTTCAAACACAGCAAATACCCAAATACCACTGTAGCCGCCTGCAGCCACAGATCAACTGGATTCTCCTGAAAGGGGGGCTGGAAATGAAGAAAGGGACGGAGGGCGAGAGAAAATGAAGCTAAGACAAAGTATTCTGATCAAGGCTCCAAGTTTAATGCTCAGCTCTCAATTTAGAGGGAAAGGCCCCTTTCTTGTTTCAGCCGGAATAGATGGGGGAATTGTTCTGGGTCAAGGCTGGAGATATCTCAAGGCAAGCCCAGAGACAGTTCTTCTAAGTTCTGGGCAGCCAAGGTGGGTAACTCCACCTAGATCCTATCACTTGGTCTGCTGTGGTAAACAAGGTCTTTCAGGCCTGCTCAAGGCTGGGGGAAGGGTACACGCCATGAAGCCAGCCCTTCTGCCTCTGCATGTTAATAATTTATTAACGAAGGGTAACACGCAGATTCTAATCATGGCCACAAGCACTCAACCTCGTGGATTCTCAACCATGACAACTCTAAACTTAAGCTCACAATTTATGCCGTTCTAAGGGATCCCAGCCCCCATTCCAGAGCTCCTTCGCTTGCTTGGGGGCAGAAAAAGTGTCATCAACTCCCCAAACTACTGTTTGGTTTGCCTTCAGGCAGGTCAATTAATCCACTGCTTAGGTTTTGTTTCCTTTCCTACAAAATGATTGTTGGAGCCGAAATGTGCAATCCAAAACCATGGACCAGCCAGCTGCAGGGTGCATTCCTGGGGCGCAGCTCAGCTCCTGGGAAGTGGAGGCAGGGGGATCGGGAAGTTAGGAGCACTTGGGAAGTAGAAGCAGGAAGATCAGAAGAAATTCAAAGACAGCCTCCGCTGAGCCACTGAGGCCAACAAGGACTCTGAGATCCTGCTTCTATAAACACACACCCGAGAGAGGGCCTAGGACCTTACCAGGCAGTCCTAGGACACAACGGTTCCCCACTCCCTCCCACTAAACAGTGAGTGAGCTCTTAGCGTTATTTCCTCTGAACCAGCTAGCAATTCTTGCCTTTCTTCTGTCTTGAAAATTTCTGATGCTGGGTGAAGAGGAAGCCCCTTCAGCTGACTTCTCAATATAACTCATGCATATTGTGTGGATGCAGGGGGCGGGGTGGTGGTGACTCAGTTCTCAGCAAAAGGATTTTTGAGACTGTCCTCACAGTTTTAAAATATTCATAGTTGGAAACTGTGAATACATTTGGCATTGTATGAGACGTGGCTTTTATTCTTATCAGAAAAAAAAAAAAGAGTCCCTTTCCTTCCCACTGGGAATATTTTTTGTGGTGTCTTTTCTCCTCATCTTACCAAACCCTGTTCTCACGATGCAGGCTCAACGGTTAGTGTTTGTTTTAAATTTTCTTTCTGAGAAAAACCCCTTCTTCCTCATTTTGAAAAATACTCAAATAGAACACCAGCAGTGGAGGTGTAGAGGAAAATGGAAGCAAAGGCGTGCTAGAAAAGACAAGGGGCGAGAGGGAGGAGCAGGCAGGTGAGTCCAAGCTTTTGCTAAGGGTTTTTGAGGGAATCAAGGCAGGAGGGCCAGGAGATCATCAGTGGTTAAACTGTTGGCAGGGATAACATTTAGAGAACTCTAGTTACAGGGTAAGACGAAAGAGGATGGAGCAAGAGGTGGCAGCTGGGTTGCAATTAGGTAAGTTTCAAGTCCTGAGAGGTACTACTCATTCACGAGAGAAACACTGTGAGGATAACAGAAAGCAGGAGAGATCTGGGGGCACTTAGAGGTAGGGCAGAGCTTAGGGATGGGGAGCCCAGGATGGCTGTGGAAGAAGTGGGTATAGTGACAGGGATGAGAAATGGAGAGGGGGCTCCAGGGGCCGGGATCAGAAGCAAGACAGAACTGTGGGATGTGTGGAGAGAGCCGAGGGGATGCTAAAGGCGCTCCCAGGAGTTGGCTGGGTGCTGAGATGAAGGGCCACTGGGAGTGGAGGGTGATCGGGGTGGAGAGAGGTGAACTGAAGAGAGGCAAAGTGGGTAATGGCAGTGCTAGCGGCTCAGGAGGTGCTGGGTACTGGGGGAGGAGGAGACACCGACTCGGGAGGTGATGGGGGCTGCTAAGGAGTGGAGACAGGAACTCTGGGGAGTGATGGTGAGGCTGATGGGAAGGAACAGGAATTCAGGGGTGACGGGGCTGCTGAGGAGAGGAAACGGGGACTGGGGAATGGGGCTGCTGATAGCCAGGTAGACTTTACTCAGGGAACGACTGAGGGTTGAGGTGGAGGACAGGATTCTGGGGGTGATAAGGGGTGGGAAAAGATCCTAGGGGTGATGAGAGATCTCCAGATACTCCGGGGATGATAGGGGAAATGAGGGAAGAGGACAGGGGCTCCGGGGGGGGACTATAGGGGAACTGAAAAGAAAACAGGGACCCCCGTGGGCTATAGGATAGTTGAGGGAAAGGGACAGGAACTCTGGAGGCTATAGGAGAACTAAGGGAACAGGACAGGGACTCTGGGGACTATAGGAGAACGGAGGGAAGGAGACAGGGACTCCGCGGGTGGTGGGGGCGCTGAGTGGGGTAGACAGGGACTCCAGGGCTAACCTGACACCCGGCCCGAGGCAGAGCGGGGCGCCGGCGGTCGCAGCGCCGCAGAAGCAGGTGCGGGATAGGGTGGAGGCCACTCACCGGCTCGGGCGCGTCCTCGGCAGGGCTAGAGCTCAGCTCCGGCCCTGGCAGGTCGCGGCCCCGCCCGGCACCGCGAACTTTCGGTTTCCAGTCCCTGCAGCCCCTGGGCGGGGCGAGTAGCCGGGTGGGCGGCCCGGAGGAAGAGGAGGCCGCGCAGGTCGAGGAGGCGGTGCCGCGGGCGCCAGCGAGAGGCTGGGTTCGCCTGCGCCCCCGCCCTCGGGGCGGGCGGAAGGGCGGCGTCGCCTCAGCCCCCGCGGCGGCGGCTCCACTGGCGGCTCCCGCGGGCGCGGCGGAGGGGAGGGCGCGGCGGGGGGCGGGCTGACTGCGCCCCAGGAGGCCGCAGGTCTCGGCCGGCAACGCAGCCGGGGAGACGCGGCGAGCGGCTCGTGCGTGCCAAGCGCGACATGGCGCGGAAGCCGAGCAGCCCTGGAGGCCCAATGAGCACGGGGAGGGGCTATACACTGGCTGGACAACCATTAGCGAGCTGGGGCCGGCGGCTCGGGGACTACATTTCCCAGGACGCCAAGCGGGCTCATCCGGAAGCGACGTAACTTGGGGGCTCAGTGCGCAGGTGCACGCGCAGTCTTGGTCTATATAAGGAAGGTTCTTCGCCTTTCTCGCCCTTTCGTTCCTGAGGCTCTTTGTGTGCTCCGATATGTCTCGTCCTTTCGGGATTAATTTGCAGATGGTGAGTTGAGTCCCCACAGCACAATTTTTTTTTATTAATCTCTTACCAAGTTTAATCTTTATAACTGCTCCTGGTCTCCAGGTGTGGCTTTTGGAGCGCCATTCCCAGGTTTGCCTTCAAGGAGGTGATTAAGGTGGAAAAGACACCTTCTGGTTTGGCCTGGAAAGCTTTTTGCTGGTGTAAATGATGACTTCACTTTTTTCCCCGTCATATCGACAGTGCTGATGCCTTAAAACATTTGCCAGTTAGTCCTGATAACACCAGACTCCAAGGACCCTGGTCTGCTTTGTTCTGGTCCAGGGTAGTTGGTGATTGACGCTTTGTTTTGTAGGTTGGCCGGATCAAGCAGTACAGGATGGAGGTTGGCTGGAGAGAAGGGCATCCAGGGAGATGAACTAACCACCTTTTAAGTCTCAAGGTACTCATTTGTCTAGTGACCTAATGTGGGAAACACGTGCTTTGAAGAGCCTTTGAGCGGTGTGTGATGGGAAATTAGATGAAACAGTTCATGCTGATAATGGTTTATAAGTGCTGAGGGTCAGTACTAAGTCAGTCTTGGCTTTCTTTTTTTTTTTTTAAATATCCAGATTATTAGACTGCTTCTTGGCCCATTTTAAATTTTCGTTCCAAATCTGTATATACACATTCAGGAGATGCAATGCCCTGTCCTCATTCAATCTGTCTTGGTTGGTAAAACTGAGAAAAAGACTGGTTAAGAAAATGGTCCCATGAGATTGGCCTGTAGCGCATTTTCTAAGCAGTTGATATGGGAGGGCTCAGCCGCTTGTGCGGACGGTGTCTGAGCCTTATTGTCTCAAGTTGTTTCTGGGGTTTCTTATGTATATGCATGATACTTTTCCTTAAGAAAGGGGTGGAGAGGTGGCTCAGCGGTTAAGAGCACTGACTGCTCTTCCAGAGGTCCCGAGTTAAATTCCCAGCAACCACATGGTGGCTCACAACCATCTGTAATGGGGTCTGATGACTTCTTCTGGTGTGTCTGAAGACAGTGACAGTGTACTCACTTACATTAAATAGATAAATGTCTCCTGTCAAAAAAAGAAAAGGCAATGAGGCGTGTCTCCTCCAAGTATTTTCAGCCTGGTGTGGTCATGGCTGTCCTCAACTATTGGGTTCTGATGTTATTCACCCTGATTCCCTCAGATAAAATGAACTCCATGCCCTAATTTATCGAGGAAGTAGGCCCAGGCAAGATTTTTGAGGCAAGCCAGGGCTGCATCATGGTTGGTGCCTAGAGACAGCCAACAGCCGAAGGGTCGTATATGTCTGAATAATTGGAATACTTGCAAGTGAACCCGCACCAGTCGAGTTATTCTTGTATACGTGAGGCAGTTTTGTACTTAGGGGTTGGTGCTGGAGTAGGTGGACCTTGACCTTAGATGCCTGTATGCAGCCTTGCAGCTTTTCTCACAGGTGATAAAGTGAGGCCTCCTGGTATTTGTTGAAAGCTTCCTGGACAGGCAGTTTAGAATATCTGCAAGTCCCGTTCCTCTGACTAGTCATTGCAGACACAGGTATGACAGCTGTTGTTGCCTGTAGATGCAGGCCTAACTGGCTGCCTAACACTAGAGATTAGGCCCAGCAGCTTTCCGCAGGCATGTGTGATGACACAACTTTTTTCCCCATCAGATCGACCATGTTGATCGCAGTCTCTAAAGCCAGTATGTCTGACATGCCTGCTTAACAGCACCTGCTGCTGCCGTGCCCCTTTGTCCAGTAGTTGATGGAGGCTTTTTTCCTGCATTTTATCTCAGGTTTACTGACAGCCAATACGAGGCTATGAATGGAGGGCGAACTCAGGAGGAGGAGAGCATTGGTAAGTTGTTCCCGTGAGCCCCTCTCCTGGTGTAGACTTGTTTCTTTTTGACATAGATTTGGCTGGTGAGCTGATGATATCACTTCTTTCCCCATCAGATCGACCCTGTTGATCTTACGATAATAAAGCCAGTTTTGTCTGATGCATCAGCCCTGGGAAGAGTTCTTGTTTTTGCCTTAGCCTATTTCACTTAATAATGGCGTAACCTACTTAACTCTGTACAGGCACACGGGAGCCATGGAGGCCAGTGTTGGTCCGATCGTGATTTCAGGTGCGGTTCTGTTACTATTGGCCTGTCTGGGGATGTCAGTAACCAAGTGCAGAGGGTAACGAGCTAGTTCTGGGCTGTTTAGTAACAGGCGGTTGGTTCTTAGGGCTCTTGGCTCTTCTGGTCATAGGCTGTTAAGGTTTCTGGTGGGATTTCAGGTTCAGCATGTTGCTTGCTAAATGGGATTGGAGGGAAGGTGGGGGGGTGTTACTTATTTTCTATTATTAGATCAAGGAGTAGGTCAAAGTGAGTTTCAGCCAGATGGTGTTCATGCCAGGCAAGTCTATCAATGTTGTATTTTTCTTTTTAGGCACTTCTGGAATACAGAATACCAGCCCTGTTCCAGCTGCCTGCCCAGCCCATGGGGCTGGGAGTGGCCCACAGGCTATGCAGAATGCAAAGAAGACTTATTTTTTGGTTGGGGAGTAGTGGTATGGTGTACACTGAACTGCTACTGGAAATAGAAAATACTGGCCTTCTATCTGTAGGAATAAAATATAACCAGTGATGTTTTCATTATCTGCCGTGCCTGAGTTTCTAGGTTGGGCCTGCAGCTGCTTCCTGTGAACACAGTGCCCAAGTGGGACAGCTGTGGGTAGCTACCTCACCTTGGCGCTAGCTTGTAAGCTGTAGGTCAGTCTGGTTGTAGCTGGTTTATGCTGCTCCTGGCTTCCAGAGCTGGAAGGTGATACACTAACCAGTTCATCTCTTTGTCTGGCATGGGCTGGGTCCACTCCCAGTACCAAATTAGTGATTTCTCATGGTGAAGTAAGGCTGCTGTGTCATGTCCCTACCAGAAAGTAGGTACACGGGCCCAAGCCCTGTGGCTTCTGCCTATCCCAATGGTTGTGCCTTCAGTTTGGGAAAAATCTTCACTTTTGGATCTACTTAAAATAACCCTCCCTGGCGCTCACGGAGCTAGAGTTGCTGGAAGGGCTGACTGCTTGGACTTGAGAGGTCAGTTGCTCAGCTGATAATTTTAAGTAAGACACACAGTATCAGCTTCCCAGGATTTAAAGCCCTTTTAAAAATGATGTGTATGTCTGCAACGTGTATGCAGTGCCCAGAGACAGGAGAAGGGCATCATTCCCTGGAGGTGAAGTTACCGGGGTTGTAAACCAACACATGAGTGCTAGAACTCTAGTCTGGGCAGCCAGTGACCTTTTAACCACTGGGCCATCTTTCCAGCATTTTAAAGCCCTCTCTGTACATGAGAAATCTAGGGCACCTGACCCACATCCCTCCAGACTCATTGCCTAAGTGGCATAGCATTGTGGGTGTTCCCCCATCTGAGGTGAGTGGACTGTGGGCTCAGAATTCTGCTTTTCCCTTTCTGCTTCAGTTTTCTGATGGGTGGAAATGGCTGGGAAGTTAGCTCACTCAGTAAGGTTTTTAGCTGTGCAGCATGAGGACTTGAGTCTAGATTATCCAGCACTGAGCACAGTGTGAGTGTGCTCCTGTGAGCCTAGTGAGGAAGTGGGGATTACAGTCAGCTAAGTGTAAGGAAATCTGAGCTCATGTTCACTGAGAGCTTATTATGGGTCTTATTCCCCAAAGTAAGACCAGGCCAGTGGAATGGCTCAGTGGGTTAAATGGCTTTTTGAGGCTGAGTTCTATCCTTGGATTCTAGGAGAGAACCAACTCCCACTAGGAGCATATACACATAAACAGCATATACACACCACAGTGCAATGATGTGTGTACAGGTGCACATGCACACACAACCACAGTGATTCTGTGGACTTAAATTTTTCTTCCAAGCTGGGTGTGGTGGTGTATAACTGATCCCAGCATTCAGGAGGCAAACAAAGGCAGTTGGGTTTTTCTGAGTTTGAAGATAGCCTGGTCTACACAAAGAAACCTTGTATTCAAAAACCAAATAACCAACTAAGCATTATTTTGGTGGGGGCGGGGGTCTCAGATCTCCCTGCCTCTGTCTTCATCTCATGGATTGGGAAGTAAAGGCCTGTGCCACTATGCCCAGCTTTGTTCTTGGATGTATTTTTATTTTCTATCTGCATATGAATACCATGTGTACCTTGGTGGTCAGAACTAGAATTAGTTGTGAGCTGCCACGTGGGTGCTGGGAACCAACTTGGGACCCCTGCAAGACCAGACTGCTCTTACCTGCTGAGCCATCTCTCCAGCCACCTTCATTCAGACCTTGCCATCAGTCTGCTCATATCTCGAGACCAAGCTGGCCTCAGATCTGCGTGCCTCTGCCTCCCATAGGATTAAATGACACCAGACCCAAGACATTTTAAACAGATACATATGTTTTGTTTGTTGAGCTTTTTCTCATCTCTTAACTTACAGGGTTCTGACTCTCCCCAGTTTTATCCTCTGTCAGAGAGGGATGCTGAGCTGGGATAACAAAGTGAAGCCTCAGGCTTCTGTGAACTTGTGGAACTAGCCAGGTGTGTGGTAGGCACAGCTTGTGTGTTTGAGGGTGCCATATACGTTTTAAGTTGGGTAGTGACCCCACATAGCTAAGAAAGCCCCTTTTATTGGCCAAGTATCTTTTTTTCCTGAGTGTAACTGACCCATAGAAAGTCATGGGGGGTACTCTACAGTTCTCTGAGTTAGACAAAAGGTACTTTGAGATGGTCACCTGTAGCCCAGGCTGACCTCAACCTCACCAAGTAACTAAGGATGAATTTCTGATTCTTCTGTTTCTACCTCCTAAGTGTTGGGATAGCAGGTCTGTCAGCACACCTGGCTTATGGGTTGCTGGAGACTCCAGGGCTTTCTGTATGCTAGACAAGCACTGCACTGACTGCGTCATCCCTCACCCTGATGCTAAGTCTCTCCTGTGGGGTGAATGGTGTGATGCTGTCTGTATTAATTGATAAGGGTTAAGCCAGGTTACCCTTGAGGTACGTGCAGGGCTTGTGGAAGACCTTTCCCCTCGGTGGTTTTGGTGCTATTATGATGGAGAGGAAACTCACAAGAAACTGACTGCATAGGTAACTCCCTCAGCGTTCAGAGCACTAAGATTTAGGACACAGGAAAAGCAAGAGTACAGGTGGCCAGCACACCAACGGAAGCTCCATCTGTTCCCAGCTCCTTGACACTGTTGACACTTGAGGACTGTTTCCCTGAGCCTTGGCCCCCTCCTGGGCAGCACAGGACCTCAGCTTGTCCTGAAGTCACTCAGGAGCCACCTCTTAAGCAGCCAGGCATGCATCCAGAGATGTCTACTCTGCCCATGGACATGATAGAGGCAGACCCTTGGCTGCCAGCAGGTTAATTAGCCAGATGGAAGCTGACAGGAGAGAGCTCTGCCAGGACAGAGATAACAGCTCTATTCCCTTCTTGGCAAGCATCCAGGCTAGACTGGAGTACAGACACAGGTGTAGGGAAGGCCTTGAACAAACACACTTGCCATTATCCCTAGATATCAAGACCCCTGGCTCCAGGAGCCCCAACATCCAGGAAGGGACTTTGTCAGAATGACAAAGGTCAGGTTGCTGATAGGTGACAGGCCTTCTAAATGTTGGACACTTACAGAAACTATAAAAATAAAGTACTGGCAAGATGGTTCAGTGGTTAAGGGCTGTGTTCAGCCAAGCCTGACAGTCTGAGTTCAATCTTCAGGACCAGGTGGTGGAAGGAAGCATCACCCCCCCACCCCCGCATGTGTACAGTGACATCACTTCCAATAAATACTGCAAATTAATGAGGAAAAGGTTATTGTAGACACCCTAACCCACCCTGTATAATGTACTTAGGCGACATTCACTCTTCCTGCCTGTTAGCCGCTTTTCTTCCTCTCCGAATCCCCATTCTCAGTATATAAAAAGGAACGTGGGCACCTTGCGAATGGTTACACCGTTAAAAGGAACTACTGGTTGGGATGGTTAATATTGTCAAGTTGACAGGATCTAGAGACTCCTAGGAGACAAGTCTCAGGACATGCCTGTGAGGGCTTATCTAAATTAAGTTGACTTGGAAGACCCATCCCATGGTCTGTCCCGGCCCCCTCCAGTAAAAAGGACAAAGGGAGCTGAGCACCAGCACTCACTGCTCTTTGCTTCTTGACTACAGATGCGGTGTGACCAGCTTCATCACGTCCCTGCTACTTCTCTGGCCATGGCGGGCTGCACCCTGGTACTGTAAACCACAATAACCCTTCAATATTTTTGTCAAGTATTTCATCATAGCAAAGATACGTGTAACTAATAAACTGTCACGATGGACATTTGGAAATAAGTCCCCTACCAGGTCGTTGGGAGATGCCCATCCCTGCCCTCTTGTATTTCTTTTCTGGCCTTAAGTAGCTGTCTCTGCAGAAGCCAGAATGGCCATAATGGGGACGCCTTAGGGATGTACACACCCTCCAACCCCCTTTCTTTCGTCCCTGGGACTCATTCCTAGAGAGACCCTGATTGGCCCTGCTTGTGCAGGTTCATCCCTGAGCCAATCGCTGAGGCCCGGAAGATAGAAAGCTGTGATTGGTCTGGTCTGGTGGTGGGCGTGGTTCCTGAACTAGGCATTTTTGGAGGTCCGCCTTTGGGTTTTCATACAAGGACCAGGAACCTCCTCTCAGTCAACTTTAATAGGCAGAGGCCTCGGAAGATAACTCTTCCAGCACCACGGACTGCTGATGGGCACAGAAGGGCAGCGTAGGAGGGGCCAGGCAGATTTGAGCCATCCCTGAAGAAGCGTATCTACGCCTTCAGTCGGCCCAGCGGGAAGGCCACCAGGGGGCAGCATCCCCTCGTGGTCACCAGGATCTTCACAAGCAAGAGGCACTTTCCAGCAGGGGGCGCTGGTCATCGTCTTGTTCTCTGGGACAGAGTTGGGGAGAAGTGATTGAGGGGCGGATCGGGTCTTATGTTGGATGCCTTGGAATGAGTTTCCTTTAAAGCTCTGAAATTTTCCTTTGAGACAATGTCTCACCTAGTGGAGATACTTTCAGCCCCCTAGCTAGGCAAATCTGGCTTTGAAGTTAGGCTCCTCAAGCATGCCAGACTGTACCTGAGAGATTTGCCTTTAACGGTTTTCATGGTACTTCTTTTTGATAAATTAGGAACCTTTCAGAATGTAGAGTCGAGCGCAAGTCTTCAAACTTCCCTTTCCCAGCGGGCCCCATCTTCATCAGCTATATGACTTTGGCTCCTTAGTTTCCTGTAGACTCGGGGGGATACCTGCCTCGCAGGCTTTGCCCACCCCATCCGATGAGATGATTTGTTCAGCAAATTTTACGGAGTTGGGTTCTGTCTGGGGGTTGAACACAGAAGCTAAACAGAGGCTGGAGAATGGCTGTATTGGTCAAGTGCTTGGTGTTACAAGCAGAGGCACTTGAGTTTGGGACAAATAAAAAAGAGGGCACTGTCCCAGCCATTTATAGTGTGTGCTGGTGCCTAGTAGGCATGTCACAGGTCTTCCCATTCAGACATTTTGAGACCAGGGCTACTCATTCTGCTATTATTTGAGATAGTCATATAACCCAGTGGTTATGTAGCTGAGTGTGACCTTGAACTCTTGACCTGTCCGTGTCTCCTGAGTCCTGCTCA